TTCTGAAGAAATTTGACATTTTATTATATCCAAAAAAGCTGACATTTTTAAATTTTATTAAATAACAATAGAAAATAGTTTGCTAAATGAAGACTTCCATACAAACATAGTTTAATACTAGTAGTCACATTTATATGTTTCAAGTTATATGATTATTACAATGATATCGGCCATATTTACGCCCTTTGAAACTATTGTCACAACATACTCGTACTGAAATATTTTCGTAGAAGCAGTAGCTTGTTGGATGGTATTTTGTCTTAGAACTGTATTACATTTTTCAGTGCTGTGACAAAAAAATGTTACGTGTAAGTTACGAATATTCGATGGGCACCCTGAATGATGTCATAATTACCACCAAAGTTTACTAAAAAGTAAAAATGATTTGATAGCTGCTATTGTGTGTATATGGTAGCTTTCCATATCCCCCGGTGGTTATATGTAATTTTATATACCTTCTTTATACCTATCTTACCTGCCTTATCTCCACTTGCTGACTGAGTTCGGTAGACGGATAGAAACAGATATGCCAATTTTACAGGAGTATTCTGCTGACCCTACTACACAGTATATTTTAGACCCATCACCTATTAACCCTCTTCTAGTCTTCTCTTCGGAATGCCTATTGAAATCTAACGTTGGGAGGATATTGTCTGATTTACCTCGGTAAAGCTGGTTTGGGATGACGCTATGTCCATACTCTATTCTGTGCCTACTTCGTAATTCCTTTACCCTGAAGGCCGAACATGCTATTATGTTCCAAATGAACTCATCTATGGGCAGTTGATGCAGGAACATATTAACCTCCCTTCCCCTTCATTTTGTTTTGTAAAATATGTTGTATCTATTTTTTGTCACATTCCGTTGCAGTTGGCGGCTGCCGTCGACCTCTTCCTTGTCGTCTTCGTCAGTCGCTTTTTCGCATTTGCAGCCAAATGTTAGCTCGAGGTCTCTATAAGATAACCTTGGCGGGTATACACTTCAATTTGAGGACTACGTAAGCGTCGTGTACTTTTGCGACACTAGTCCGTTAGGTTAATGATGGGGACGAGTACATAGCTTAAAGCACATTTCGGCAATCTGACGCCGATCTCCTCCTATCTTTCCTTATGGTGCTTGGCGAGGAAGAGTTGCCGTCTATGACAGCTACCTCCAGGCAGTCTCTATGCACTGTTCAGCTTTGTTGCCTGACTTGTTTTTTAGCAGAAGGTTCTGCTGTTTTCCTTTTCAGAAAACTCTTAAATTGCTTCTGGCGTCTTATTTCCTCTTCCGGCAGCATGGACTTCCGAAGTCTTGCCCAGAAAAAAAGTGTTTTTGTTTTTTGTATCTTCATTTGTTGTGTTCATTCTGTTTCCATGAGTCAGCCAGAAAGGGTTGGCCACACTGAGCGCAGCTCGCCCGGCCATCGGAGGGACCATTTGCGATCAGCCATTCGATGTCAGTTATTGTGATATATTTTTAGTTAACAGACGATTTTTTCTTCCTTAAATTCCATTTTGAGTACAGCCTTAAATACCGCTAACGTAAAATAACTAAATTGATTACAAGTTTGTTAATTGAAAGGTTTGGTTATATGAATATATAACATATACTAATAGTGCATTGGTATATATGTAAATAAAGCATATACAGACGTATATACATATATAACATATATATGTATATGTATATGTATATGTGATAATGTGTGTTATCTTCCTCAATGTACCAAACACATTCATTTGTGCCTAGGCATGTATGTAATTGCAATCTGCTGACGAGTAGCATGGCATAGACACATATGTATGTATTTATGTACATTGTGAGCATTGTAATTTGCAATTCAAATGCAATTATTGAATATTGAACACTGAATAATGAATAATTACATTTTCACCTGCCATAAAAATATTTAATAAATAAATAAAATGTGCGATGTGTAGAAGTGTTGACGTTGAAGTGTTTACTGCTTGTATCTAATGCCACATATGTAAACACATATACACATATATTTATGAATGCATAGAAATTTCTTCTATCTTCTACTTCTATACACGTACATATTTATATAAGCATTCCGAAACACAGAAAGTTAGTGCAGAAATTTCTCAGGTGCGCCTCGAAGAAAGTTGTTGGAAGAACACATTGGAACACACATACTAACACATACACTAACAGCTTCCGTATTTCAATGGCGCCCTGATTAATTTAGAGAAGGTTAATTCTACATCTGATGAGAAATGGATTTGAAAATGCAAATTTTCCTCTCCCAGAAAATAGCAAAAATATTTTTGGATAAAAATCTCGCCATTGAATGTAATTTTTAATTTCAATATATTGTCAAAATGCATTCAATAATCCATGGCTTTGCTGGCATATTTGTGCAGCCGTGTCCACTTTCCACTTTATTGTTTGACGACAATTTCTTTTTGTTGGTGTTTCGAGTAGATTTTACACGTTGAGAGCAATTCAATCTGTCGGAGTATTTTATTTGATTGCGACTATATTCATCATCCAGGTATGTGGTCTTTGTCTGAATAGAACTCAATAAATAATACAATTAAATAGCAGAATTCAATAAATTTATTTTTGTATTGTTCGATAGATGAAATGCATGCAGTGGCAGTGAATTCACTAGCTTGGAGTATTAATGGAATATAAGTAAATATTACAAAGCTTAGATTTCTGCTATTTAGCTTGAATATTTACATTCAGGCGGGTATTGTCACTTGCGAAGCGAATTTATTTGGCGAAGCGAACGCTTTGGCGAACATACCCCAAATTTGCATTGTGAATGGCGAATGAACGTATTCGCTAAAATATGTCGTTTCCATTCATAAAAAAAGTAGCGCGTTCATCCGAATTTGACATTTGTGTCATTTGTACTTAAAAATATTTATTATTATATCAACTGAAATTCGAAATTATGTTTAATAACGCGGATCTGTATTTTGAGGATAATTATGATGTGGAAACGCAAACTAATCTTCTTCGACAGCGCCGTTTTATTAGAGATAATTCTAATCCTACAGAGCTACCTAACACGGTGTATGTATCCAGTTCAATTATAACGAATAATAGGAAGTTTTTTTTCGTTGTGAATTTCCGCTTAAACAAGGACGCATTTATGTATGTGCTGGATAAAATCAAAGACAAATTCCATTGTCGGATGTCGTCTTCCATAACGCCGATGTTAAAATTGTGTGCCGCGCTCAGATTTTTTGCACATGGCAGTTACCAACAGGCTATAGGGAATGAATTTCAGTTGGGACTTGCCCAGCCAACAGATTCCCTTATTTTAAAAGAGATCATACCCATTTTGGAAAATGAAATTTCTCTTACCCATATAAGCGTAGATATGAGTGAAGAAGAAAAGCAGCAGGCAAGGAGCAAATTTTATTCAAGATCTGRAATACCAAATGTAATAGGCTGCATCGATGGAACCCATATTGCAATTTATGCTCCTACCACAAACAAACACCTCTATCTAAACAGAAAAGGATTTTTTAGCATAAATGCAATAATTGTGAGTTTTTCTGAATTTAATACAGTAAAATTGGTATAAAAATTTTATTGTATTTTTATTACAGGCTTGTAATCATGATATGAATATCCGTTTTGTGGATGCTAGATATGCTGGTTCTACACACGATTCGTTCGTATGGAACAATAGTTCTCTAAAGGCATGTTTAGAGGCAGCGCATCAAAAGGGAGATCAGAACTCTATTTTTTAGGTATTCGCAATATTTGACTACTGCGCAAGTTTAATCTTGACATATGAATATTGAAAACAAAAATACATTTGCGGGTGACTCCGGATACCTAAGCCCTTATTTATTAACACCTTTCCGTCATGCAGAATCTGGAACTAGGGAGTCAATTTTTAACAAGAAGCACGCAAAAGCGAGAATGCTGTTGAACGTACGATTGGAGTTTTGAAATGCCGTTTCAGATGTCTTCTGAGCGATAGAAAAATGCGCTGCGATCCTGCTAAAGTAACATCCGTTATTAATATATGCTGCGCCTTGCACAACATTTGTAAAAAATTTAGAATCGGTGATCCGGAGGAGGCTGAAACTGATGCCGTTCTACCATTGGAACCAATTAATGAAAATGGCAATGGTTCACCAGGAGAGCGCTGCAGAAGACAAATTGCTCATGCTTTGATGTAAATGAAACTATACCGACTTCAGTGAATAATATATTGTATTCTTTTATTTTATTCAATACTTTGAAATTCAATATTACATAGATAATAAATATATAAAAATTACAAAAACTACATGCTTTTAAATTAAATTTAAAAAATCACAGATTCAATTCCGTCACTTACAATAATAATGTAAAAATAAATTCATCACGTTTTCTTAAAAAAATCTCAATTTCAAGTTCGGTTAAAATATGAAATAAAAAAAAAATTGATCACATTCTTATGAAATAAACTATAAACTAAATTCAATCTATTTACAAGCATCCTATTTACTCTATTTTTTTTTTTCATTTTTAATTTTACAATTTGTAGTTTTATTTCCATTTTTTCTTTATGTCTTTTTTTCTAAATTTTCTTCCTTCTTCCTTTCTTCTTTCATTTTCATTAATTTAATTTCTTCCTGTTTGAGTTCATATGTTTTTCTTGCATACCGTGCAATTTCATCTATTTTACTTTCCATTTTTGCAATTTTGTTGGAAAGGGTGTCTTGAACTTCGGCTTGCTTTTCAAACGCTTTCATCCGAATGACTTCACGTTCCTCTACTGTCATTCTAGGACGGCTGCTTGAGGATTGCGATGCCAAATCCATGGCTCGTTGTGTTTCCTCGGTCGTGCGCTCTTCTGGCTGAATTTCGCTAGTATTTACTGCAGTTTCTACTTCATTTGAGCCATATGCTAAGCCTGTAGGATTTACAACCGCCTGAAGGYGAAGAAACTCATCCACACTTTGCTCTAATGGAGATAAACTTTGCTGAGCATRAGGTCCTCCTCCTGTGGCAACAGTTTCGCGTCGGTTTGTCGCTATTTTTTTTTTAGTTTCAGTTTATAATCTAATCAAACCTAAATGCTACACGTAAGTAACTTCAACCAAACAAATTAATTAAATTTTTACCTTATTCCACTCGCGCCCGTTTCGCAATGGTGGACCAATGGCATTGAGTTCGGCAGCGAACAGGTCCCATTGCTCTGCCCTGCTTTTCTTTGTCGATCCAAAATTCCCCATTCCTCTGGCGACGTCCGGATTATTTTCCATTAACGCAACCGATTTTTGGAAYTGCTGCGTTGTTGTACGTTTTGTTCTAGAAGTATMGTTTTGTTAAATATAATTAAAAAATTACAATTGCTCAAATAAAGATCAAAATTTACTTACGTCCTTTCCATTTCAAATAGCGAATAAAAAATACATTCGTTAAATTTTGATAGTAATGGCGAAGCGAATGCCGTTTTTTCGCCAGCGGCAATACCAGAAATTTATTTTCKTCACTCGTTCGCCATTTTCTGGCGAATTCGTTAGAGATTCGCAACTTACAATTCGCCACGGCGAAACTCGCCAAAATTTTCATTCGCTTCGCAAGTGACAATACCCGCCTCAGACTCTAAAAAAGAATAGACACTTTGAAACCACCACTTTTTTGGGTGGATTTCACCAAGTCGGGGAATTTCAAATTCGGTTATGTTGAAAATTACTAAATTAAATAAATACATCAAAGGCATTAAGTTTTAAACCCAAGGAGGTATGAAGCGGCCTAATAACCACACTTCCTTTCCACATAACACGATTTTAAATACCAAATGATTATTCCACTGTAACGCATACCTAACAGGCACTAACGAATATATTCGAATACAATTTCCCACAAATACTGCCTTTATGACATGCTATCTTACATTCTTAACCGAATAATAATTGTGCAAGCCCCAAGTTCCAAATATGTCGTCCTGACGGTTTTTTTTTTTTAACGAAACTAGCTTATAAATATTTATGTCTGTGAGAAATTTTGTTGAAATTTAGGGATATTATTCTGCTAAAGATAATTTACTCTTGTGTCAATGCCTTTTATAGCCCCATTTTCTTAATATATCATAAAATATCTTTTTCGGCTAATAGTAACTATATTGTGAAGTCAAAATTGACGCTATTCTTTACTGGCTTAGACAACGCTACGCGGTTATAACAAAGTTAACCACAGCGCGCAATCGTTTCTTCTTTTCGCTGTTTGGAGCCAATTCGATATACCAAGCTCAGGCAGGTCCTTCCCTACCTGATATCTCCATCGTTATTATGAGTGATTTATAGAGTTTGGTCTTTGTTTGTCGAGAAAGAAATTTACTTCTCAATTGCCTATTCAGTTCGAAGTAGCACCTGTCGGCAAGAGTTATTCTACGTTGGATTTCGAGGCTGATATTGTTGTTGGTGTTAATACTGGTTCCAAGATAGACGAAATTATCTACGATTTCGAAGTTATGACTATCAACGGCGACGATCAGAATACATATTTCGGCTTGCCCTTGTGCACTGCCAACCCCATTTGCTTTGCTTCCTTATTTAGTCTGGAGAAAGCAGAAGTGACGGCGTAGTTGTTGAGGCTTTTATTGCACAGTATTTTCATTTGGATACTCGATTTTCTCCTCATATACCTCATGTATTAAATCTAGCTCTGTTGGTTGAGTTTTCATCACAAATATCTCATTTGACCATGTGGTGAAAACAATGATGTGAACAATCCAAATAAAATTAGAAAACTGTACTTAAACTTAACTGTGAACAGTATTCGTTTACCGCTAATGTGACGGAATTCCAGTGTTCTCCCCATCTTCAGCTGCTGCTCTTCATAAACTACAAACGAACCGATGATGGTTTGCCAAGCTGTGTGCCACCCTATTTAACCGCGTTCGCAAATACAATCCCATCGAATGTTAACTTGTCAGGCCTCATACCATCTGAAAACAGCAGATTTCTTTATGCAAATATTTTTATTTTATTCCAGCATTAAGCCACTACCAACATGCGGCATGTTCTGTCGATTATTCGAGGTAATATATAAACATGTCGCTTGTGTGTCTGTTAGGCTTGCTTGTGATATCTTACTTGTTATTTCATTGTTGCAATCGATAACTATGTTGCTGTCGTTGATGAGGAAACAAAGCGTAACGCTAAAAACATTTTTCCATTTTTCTGACCATCGAAAATAAAAAATATAGAGAAAGTGACTTTTTTCGGTATTCGCAACACCCTGTATTAAGGATTTTCGCATTTATTTCCAGTTTGTCGCCGGCTATTGAAATTGATAGAATTAAATTTACAACAGTTTAAGCCATTTTTTGTTGCTGATACACAAACATGGTCCGGGCATGTAACTCTTTTCATTTTCATGTATATTTGGTAGAATATGAGTGACATGGCGTATGTATGTATATATGTTAGTAGAAAAAATTAAAACAAAAATTTATAATACGTATATATAGTACATTGTATGTATCTGTGCTGTATAAGTAAGATGGGCTCTGTAGATTCAGCGACTATCCATTTCAACGCCTGTGCGTCATTATCGAGGCTGGAAAATATTGGATTTCTCACCCTCAGTTTTTCAGGTAGAATAGAAGAAAAGTTATTAAGATCTATATGAAGATTTATGAAAGCAATATGCCCGTACTTGAAGTCCAACCACAGACGTTTTTGAGCTTCATCAACCTTCTCGATCTTGTAAGAATTTAATATCTTAAAAATGTTCTATTTATCTATTTTATTAGGTAAAACACTTTCATATCATTTAATATAGATATGATCATATAAGATATCGCGACTAATTCCTGGACTAGATTTCAGCAGCACCACGAATTTCTAAATCAAAAACGTAGAACTAAAAATTAAATTTGAAATTCAGGGAGAATCTTTTCTTGATAATAGTATGCCTATGTGCTACTAATGGGTTTAATAAGATCAATACTTTCTTTAGCCCCCACATACTTAATGAAAAGATTTTCGAACTTCCGAACTTTCTTACAACGATGCATATTTGTGCTTAGAATGAATAAAATCGGATGAAAACTCACCTTAACCCCATATAACTAACAGGCCTTAAGTACCTGAAAGTGTTTTCAATCCTTGCAAGTTGCAAGAGTATGAAATGTTCGGTTATATCCGGAATTAGCTCTTCCTTACTTGCTAGTTGGGAGTTTGTTTAAGTCGCCTGTTTCTTTTATATGCTATGGCTCGTAATCAATTTTCTAAAAAAATGGCAAAAGCATGATGCAAGAATGACAGAGACAATTTACAGCACGTTATGGCTTGAACAATACGAACTGTCAACCTTTCATTGTAATTGTTAAAAGAGCCTCAAGTTTTGTCCTTCATGATCTCAGGATTTTTCTTGTCAAAGCCGCTCCAATAAAGAAGCAAGACACAACTCTCGAACTTCTTTTCATTCTTACGTGCAACATGTTTCTGGTGTATTTTAGTTAGGAAATTCTATTTATAAACTGATATTGATGCTCCATGTGGCAAATGCACCTATAAACCATTAAAAAAATACGTTTAAGAAAAATGTAAGTATTCTATTACCTGAGGACACTTGGTTTATCGCAGAAAAAAAAGGTTCAATTATTTAAACTTATATTCTATAAAAGAACATAAGTGGCAACCTCCATCTCATAGTGTAATCCTTTCAGGTCTACAAAAGTTACGCAATTTGTCATATTTCGTCACAGATGTTTTGAACCAGCGCCTGCTTGAAAATGTTGTTGATATAAATTCAGAACTTACAAGAATGCTCATTAAATGTTGTTCCCCATTAACTTTTCGTCAACTGTCGGCCGTCCTATCGAAATCCATTGCAGCAAGGAAATACGAATGGTATTTCGAATGTGACGTAAAGTATTTTTGTGCCGACTAATGGACTTTCTATAACTATTATGAACAAACAATTACATTTTGTAACTCCCACACACATACTACAGGCAACATTCACAGCAACACACAGAATGGCTGGTCCTTTGTGCGCAGCGCGTGGAGAAGTTCTCAATAAGTTCGAGGTATCTTGCAATGGATATTATATCCGACTGTGGACAAGTGCCACTAGAAAGCGACAAAACCATTAATTGCTGCTGCCGTTGTAATAATAATAATACCAACGCTGGTATGAAAGCAAAACATTCTTCTGGGGATAAGCGTGGAGTGACGCATTTACTCGCATTTGGGTGGTATTGATGAGAGTTTGAATCGAATTTGCCACTTCATTACGGCACTTACGCAAATACTATCTTCTCACTACAAACCAACAATCATATATAAAGTCATGAACATTTGCGTGTATTACACTGAGAAAAATTTCCTTTATAGAAGGGTGTTCGAGCAGCAAATTTGTATTGCTTCAAGGATGTAAGAATGAGAGAAAAGTTTTAGAAAAATTTTACTTCTGAAAAAAGTTTTCCTCTCTTCATCTAATTAATTATGTGACGCATCGGAGAGACCGAGTACTATTTCATTAATTCTTTCAATTAAGTTCATAATAGCGTTTGGAAAAATCTTCTCCAGCTGGTGCTGTGCTAACAAGTGAGAATCATATAATGAGATACTTTGAGCTGTCAATTATCAGAGTTTGCTCCGAAATGAACCAGCTTTATACGAATTCAAAATAGGTATATATCTGTGTATTTCAATTTATATTCAACCGGGAAATTGCTATTTCTATTTCGTTCAGACCCTCTGCGGCTTTTAAAGAAATTGCGGTTATGTTTCCTTTCTGAGGTAATTTTCTAGAAATTTTTTAAAAGTTTGATGAAATGAATCTTCCGTTGAGCCAGTCTATCCAGTCAGTCGCTAGGATATATCTATGAAATACTGCCTCCACAAGACATCCCATTTGGGTTTTGATTTCAAATATTTCTGACATCCTTCTATACATACATAAATATGCCTTCACGAAGCAAACAAAATCAATGGACTGTGCAAAGGATACACACATAATGCCTTCGCCAATAGTAGCAACAACTTTGCAGATTTTTTTGAAGAATGTAGCAATAGCAATAACGTTAGCCTACAAAGAACAACAAACATTATTACTTACGAAAGAGCACGTCAGAGACGCTGCTGCGGCGTTGAGTGGAGGCACAGCAGCAAAAGCCAAATGCCATAAAGCAATTTCCGACTAATGACATCCAAAAGTTTGGCTTTACTGTGTGGCGCATGGAAGATATCGAAAAGGGCCGGTGATGTGTCGAGCACACTGGGCCATAGTGGCTGAGTGAGCATCTTAGGAGCGATAAGTTCTGATTTGGAATGCGAGACTTGGTGGCACACGTGATGGGGTAGGGCAGGGAGGAAGGCAAAATCTTGTGTGAACGCAAACGGCAACGGCAGTCTTATCAGGCAAATCAAACAAATGCGCCACCGCACTGGACGCTGGCGATATGGGGGGCAAACTTGGCAAACAATGCTGCCACACGTTCCGCACACTATTTATAAGTGCGATTGTGCACCCATTTTCATCAGCGCAATTTTCGTTTCGTTGGCGAATTCGTTTTCTTTTTGTTCGCCTCTAAACGAAGGC